AAAAAAAAAACTTAATGAGACTATTTCTTCTAACTACAGAAATATAAAACTGGTATAAATTACTGTATCTTTTGTGTGCACTATGGCATTCTCTGTTACTGTCCTGCTCAAAAATCCCGCAGTGCTCAAACTTACCTCAAAAACCAGTGTATCCTTAAAATAGCTTCAGAGCCTCGCAGGGACCCATGTCCTTCCCTCACTCCCTGCCCCACTCCCCAGTGGCATCTCAGGCTGCCTACCCCTCACTCACTCTGCTCCAGCTGCTGGCATCCTGACATACCTCAGAGCTGCCAGACGTGCTCTGCCTTCAGGCTCAGGTTCTGGCCTTCAGTATACTGCTGCTAGAAAGTTTTCCTCCTCCACAAATCTGCTCAATTTCCTTCCCTCTCATATTCTTGTCACCATCTAACCTTTACCACTTGCTAATTTAGTGCGAATACTGCTAATGTCCTTCCCCAGGGGGTCAGTTCTGGCAGGATAGGGATCTTTGTCTGTTTTGTTCTCTGAACTATCTTAGATATCTAGTTTTTGATTTTTTTTTTTGTGAATAGTGAATAATTAGTGCTTAATTTGCCCCCAGCACTTTGCTAAGTGTTCACTAGGAATCAATTTATTTAATTGGATTGGAGAATGGAAATACACAGTCACTAAGGTTTCTGCCCAAGGTCCCAACAAGGAAGTGATAGAGCATAAGCACTCTCTCTAGAGAGCTGAACTTCTTAAGTCCCTACACTTTCACTGTGCTTAAAGGGTGTGATATTCTTAGGCAAATGTGTCAGTAGTTCTAACACACTCTCATCTCTCTCCCTTCCTTCAACAGGGAATTTCAGGTTAAACCTTAGTGAAATTTATATCACAGTAAGGGGATCCTAATTTTAGAATGAAACAATTTTTGTCCCTTGGTTTATTGATTTTATAGTTAAAGAGCAGATAAGAAAATGTATCTTTGTGCTGATCCCCACAGACTACTCACTTCTGCATATAAAGTTATACTGCTGTAGATGAGTTTCTCTAAAAGAGCTCGAACAGCTGGATTACTACCTCTTCGAACCCTTCAAATGGAAATATTGAAAGAAACAGAAAGAGGAAGAGCTCTCTTTTAAGGAGAGATTTTTAAATTAAGGAATTAAATGATACTAGCTATGAAAAGATATTATTTTATGAAAGGGAAGATAATCGCACTTCTACATTCTACTTACTGATTTTTTAAAGATTGATATTTATCTATGCATCAAGAACTGATGTGTAGGCCGGAGGTGGGGAATAAGTGGATTCAACAGAGAGAGGGGCGCAGAACAGGCAGATCTACTGAAATACACTGCTGAGGGGAGCAATTGGCCAGACAGGAGAGGTCTGCTGTGCCATGTGCTCCCTGTCAGGAATTTAACTCATGCCACAGTGATGATAGTTTGATAGTGCTGAGACTTTAATTCCTGTGCCACCAGAGAGGCCCCCATTCTAATTACTCTTTTAAAATAGAACACTTTTATTGTTTTTTTTAGGGCCCACCCTGGTGGCACAGCGGGTTGGAGCGCAGCACTGCAAAGCTGGCCATGGCCGCTTCAGTGCGAGTTCGAGCCCCGGCCCTGGAGGTGATCCACATGGCGCGGCAGACCTCTCCTGACCCGCCCACTGCTCCCCTCAGCAGTGTACTTCATCGATCTGCCTATTCTGCTCCCCATTCTGTCTCTAGTGAATTCTCTCATGGCTCCTACCCATCTGGCCTGTACCTCAGTTCTATATGCATATAAATAAAAACTTTAAAAGAAAACTTTTGGTTTTTTTTTTAATATAAGTGGAATTCATAAAATCAGAAACTCATTTTATTCTAATACCAAATATTTTTTGAAAATCTCAAAGTAAATGACACTATTAAAAACAAAATTAAATCTGACTTTAAAGAACTGAGCAAAATATTTGACATAATAAATTTTTTTCATGTGTTATTTTTCATTTCTAGATAATTCTCAAGCACTGATTATATTTTTGGTATTTTTGATTATTGTGACATCAATAGCTCTGCTTGTTGTTCTCTATAAAATCTATGATCTACAAAAGAGAAGATCCAGGTAAGATTTGATTTCAAAAGAAAAACAATGATGGGGACACTCAAGACAAATTCAAAACCACTGAAGTGGGTAAAAACTGGAATAAAAAAAACAGCATGGAATCTGGTTCACCACAGATCGTTTGATCAAAGATGTTTAACAATGTCTTATTGATTTGCATTAAATTATTTATTAATAGTGTGTATTTCATTTAAAAATAACCAATGAAAAGAATATGTTATTTTAATAGAAAGTGAGCTCGAAAGGATGTAGGGATGACGAAGGAAAAGGAACACTGCCTAGGGAATTGTATGTATTCCTTTTTGCCAGAGCAATTGAAAAAATATGTCATTGTATGAAAAATAAGTTGGAAGATAAAATAATTTTGACCCTTATTTGAGTTTAGCAGACAACCCTTAGTTGGTTTCTTCCTCCCCCACATTTTCTTTATTTTTTTCTCCTCCTCCCTCCCAGCCTTTTACCCCCCCCACTTCCTCCCTCTCCCATATCATTTTCCACCCCATTCTCCCCTTCCTTCATCCTCCTTTCCTTTTTTTATTCAACTAGCTTCCGCTCCTTCCTCCAATATAGTCATTAAACATAAATTGAACGTAAAATGAATTGTACATTTCTTAAACATAAAAGTTAACATTTCTTATTTTCACAGAGATTTAGAAGAACAACAGGAACTTGTTGAAAGGGGTCAGTATGTCTTTTTTTTACTGATGAATATTCCCTCACATTTAGATCCATTTTAAGTAAGAATTCACACTGTATTAATCTCCCTGGTCTTCCTCTGTTGATACCATAATGACACTTAATGTTTTTACTTAGTCAACCAATGTATTTGTGAATTTTGTTTGTATTCCAAATGGTGTACCAAACACTGAACATACAGCAGCAACATGCCATAGACTGTTCTTAAACGGTCTCAACCCTAATAAGTAAAAGACAAAAGCACTGACAAATACGACAGTAAAGGCCCTCAGTTACGGACAGGACAAAAATAGCAATCTGAATAAGGATAAGAAAACAAATTCCATGTTTTTCAACTTTTACATTATTTAATTCCTTTTTTTAAAGAAATGTTTTTTTTTTTTTAATCTGTAAAGTTAGAGAAATTGAAGCTATGTTTATAACAAAGAGAATAATTTGTTTTCAGGATAAGAAAGATTTCTGGAAAATTTTCCTCTGTCTTAACTTTAACTTGTCTTTGAAGGGTTTTCCTCAAGCTAGTGCAGGCAGCAAGTCCATAAATAAAGCTTTGGGATTGAATCTTTGGAGATCCTATATAGGCATTCTTTTCATTCTTAAATTATTTTGTGAGTGATGATCTTGTTTGCAGATTTGAAATGCTAGACGAAGGGAAAACATGTCCCTCACTTTGAACAGCTTACCTACCCCAAGTGCCTGTGAGTACATAAGGGATAGCTATGTGGAAATCTGAGAGTAAGTCAGAAAGACTAATAGAAAGCCCACAATAGGTTTGGAGCCCTAGACTTCAAAGTCATAGGTTTATAGGTGAATATATATATATATATAGATAGATATAGATACAAATATAGATGAGTATATATAGATAGATGAGTGTGTATATACACATATATGTACACACATATATGTACATATATGTATACACACAATTGTACATATATGTACATATATACACAATTGTACATATATGTGCATACATGTATATATACACACATTTCCCCGCTCTCATGCCTGATACTATGCCACGGGCCCTCTCCAAGATGTACATTCAATGAAGCTTGTATGAACAGTATGAACATTTGAACGATAGATCTAACATTCTGGATTTTCAATGTGTTTAAAGATGATGAAAAGCAGCTGATGAATGTGGAGGCAATCAGTGCAGAGAATTTGTTAGCAACTTATCAGAGAAAGATGGCTGATGAAGGAAGACTTTTTCTGGCTGAATTTCAGGTGTGTGCTGTTTGATCTATATAATGAGAAATTTAATTTAATTATAAAGATAATTCTACATTAAGTGTATTGTATAACCACTTGCTTTTTTAATTTATCCCACATAATACTGCAATACAGGCAAAGCAGCTATCACTTGCAGATGTTTACAGATGTGAATAGAAAGTAATAATCATAGGTTAGTACGTATTTTAAAACAACATTTCAGTGTGTTATTACCTGTTATGTAGTGTCACAGAACTCGATTAGCTGATTTTGTAATTATTCACTAGATGTTCATCCAAATATCATGCATCATGTAAATGCATGTTAAAGTGGCAGAGCAAATGATTCTAAATTTACTGGCACTCATGGGGACTTACTCTGAAAGCAGCTGGTCATTAATTTTAAAGGAAGATAGTGGAGTTTTTTTGCATAATTTGTAATAAGTTTGATTTCATTATCATATGAAACTTGTTCATCAATATAAAGGAAATATGTTACAGTATGTCTCATTTCCTGAAAATAGTAGCTGGCAAGGGGAAATTTTTTTTTTTAATCTGCTGTAACTCAAAGAATCTGTGTTTTTCAGAGCATTCCAAGGGTGTTCAGCAAGTTTTCTATCAAGGATGCTCGAAAACCCTTTAACCAGACCAAAAACCGTTATGTTGACATCCTTCCTTGTAAGTACTCATGTAGAAGTGTATCTCCATATATTTTCATGACTTCATTACTCATTGTTTCACTCACATACTTTTTCTTTGAACAGATGATTATAATCGTGTTGAACTCTCTGATCTAAATGGAGATGCAGGGTCAAACTATATAAATGCCAGTTATATTGATGTGAGTAACTATATAATTGTCAGATTATTTTAAATATTCATCATTCTGTCATTGGTCATTTGCATGTTTTACTGTACTTTACATTCAGTTCCTTTGTTATAGCAAAATTTTAGTAATGTTACTAAAAATAGTTTGAAATAAGTCCATAATGTCATCACTGATATAAACAAGATAATCATTACCATTTGCAAGAGTATTTATTACTTGCCTGTTGATCCTAGATGTAATGTAGGATTTTTCTCTACAAACTGATTCTAATGATTAAATTACTTTGGTGCCTATTAGGTGCTGACTAGTAGATTACATGATTTGTTAAACTATGTATATACTTCTCATAAAAGTCTCAACATTTTTCCTAATCAAGTGCACTGTACTGACTATAGAAGCGAAGACTGGGAGTCTCCATCTCACTACCTTACCCCTGTTCAATAAGTAAAAGTTTGAATTAGGGCCTGTTTTGTTCCAAACTGTTGAGTTCAATTGCATAACATTGCATTTCAGTAGAGATATTTATCATCAATATATAGCCTGTATTTTTATATTTCTCCCAAAACAAATATCAGCACATGGATAGAGTTAATCTATGTTGCTTTGATCAGCACTGGGTCAGCAGACCCACAGATCTATTGAAAATACATTTTAAAAATTATTTTATAATTTTTAAATAAAATCTTCATCGTATGAATTCAAAATTTTTAAGTATAAAAGTATAGAGACTGAAAAAAATATATTCCTCCTACCCACGCATTTTCCCATGATCCCTACAGTCAGAAGGGGTAACCTATATGTGGCTTAGTAGCTATCAAATCAGATTTTCTCTACATCTATACTATCCCTCTTTTTATGCAAAAGTGTTAATATTTATACTGTTCTGTACCATGCTTTACCTTAAATACATATCTTGGATACATATATTATGAAAAGTAGGGTTTGGCTAATCTACTCAGTGAGGGTCTAGAAAACAGATATTTTGGGTTCCACAAGAAATATCTGAGTCACAGATACCCAACTCTGCAATATTGTAGCCCCATTTCCATAGACAATAAGTACATATCATGGTGCTGTGCTCAAAAACCCTACTCAATCAGGCCTGCTTGATTTGACCTAGGCTGTAGCTCGCTGACACCAGACATGCAGAACATTTCTGCATCTTTATATATTTTGGTGGTAATTAATAGTATAGTTGCACTGTAATTTATTAATCAGTTCTTATGACAATGTACAGTAAGTGTGGTTTATAATCTGTTACAAAGGATGGTTTAATGAATAACATTGGCTCACTTTCTTTCCTGATGGGATTCAGTATATCAATATGATAAATCCCTAAAAGATGCATCACCAACTCAAAGGAAATATGCACCTTTAATTTTAAGAAATTTCCAAATGGTCCTCCACTGTGGTTACACCTACTTATATTCCACTGACCATGTATAAGAGCGTCCTAATTCTATACAGACTTACTAAAAGAATGGTTATAAATTTTTTTGACAAATAATTGACGAAGTGATGCCTTGTTTCCATATATGCTGGTTATAAAATCACATTTTTTCTTGAAATTGAGTTTTTTTCCCTACTTGTTTATTTAAATATATAAACTTTTACTGGAGAAGCTAAAATAGTCATAAAATAATTATGAATTTGTTAACTTATACAGTGTATTTATTTCCTAAGACTGACATAATAAAGTACAAAAAAGTAGGTGACTTAACAACAGAACTTTATTCTTTGAAACATCTCTGAAGCCTAGAAGTTCAAAATTAAAGTGTCTGCAGAGCCCTTCACCTCAGAAGGTTCTAAGGAAAATCTTTCCTTGCCTCTTCCTAGCATCTTGTAGATCTTGGCAAGCTTTGGTAATACTCCAGTCTGCATCAGCATCACAGGGCCCTTCCCCCCACGAGTCTCCAAGTCACTGTGTCTCCTTTCTTATAAAGACGTCAGTCATTAGATTTAAAGTTCATCCTCAATCAGTTAGATCTCATGTCATGTCAAAGAATATCCACCAAGACCCTATTTCCTAGTTGAATTATAGTCTGAGACCCCAATACACACTATTCAATCCACTATATGTATAACTATAGAATAATTTAGAATCTTTTTTTAAATTCTGATCATTCATGAAACATGCATCTTCAAAATCTGTAACTTAATCTTTAATAAAGTTCCTTTCTATGACATCTGATAATGTTCCAGAACAAAATCCTTAACACTAATAGTTATGATGACAATTAATGCAACTGGCTACATATTTGCTATTTGCCACCTTTTTTATGGGTTTTCCTTGTATTAATTCAGTTAAATCTCTAAACAACACTACGAGGTGTTCCTTGTTTGCCAGTAGGAGCAGATTTGGGTTTTTTTCTCAAACTCTCTTCCTCTAGAGACAGCTTTCTAATTTCTACAGTGTCCTGTCTGCCAACGACTTCGATACCATTCATGTATTTTTCTGTTTCTATTCCTGGAAACTGGCCTAAGCAAGAAATATCTCTTCCATGACATGTGCTCATTATATCACAATATATCTTCCTACTTTTATTTGTGTCTCATATGATCCTTACAATTACAACCAATCCTTACCGATCTGAGGTCATAGATCAAAAATAGTTAGTAGTAATGTGACATAATTTTGACCTCTATTCAGTTCTTTGGATAACATTATTTGGCCTTCATAGTTAACAGCTATCAAATTTATTTAATGAGTATCATTTTTTTCTAAACAATTTATTCTTCAAAGTAAAGAAATTGAGAGTAAATGTTATAAGAGTTCATAAGGATTTAGAGTGTCTCTGAAGAAAGCATAATCTGTATTTACTATTCACATGTATATGGTAATTATGGTATTAAGTTATACTTAGGTTTCTCTAGCAGAGCTGAGAGTACCTGGAAGGGCATGTGTTCTCAACTTTTTAGATCAGCACTTGAGATATATTAGTCTCTCAATATAGACTTATTGAATAAATGAATATATGAATAATGCTATGTCATGATATAGAAATTTCAAGATGTTACTAAACTTATCATGAATTTTTGTGACTGAATTTCACCTAATGGCACACATTAGCTCTCTCTCTCTGAAATGATATCTGATTGCTGAGGTACAGTTAAGGAATGTGAGGTACTATTGGAAAAAATTATCAAAGTACCTAGTCTGCTCAACTCTTTTTCCCTTGTAAAAGGAGTGGAGAAAGCAGATATTGCAGGAAATAAAATTTATCTTGTCCAGAATGGCAAAAATAGAGCTTACAGATTGAGCATATAAGCCAGATGAGTTAAAGGGAAGAAATGACTCATTGAAAGAAATTGGGTAAAAATCCCCAAGGTAACTGCATGCCTGGTAAAGAGGTTTAAATTATGACTAAGGGCACATTAAGGGCTGGCAGGATATAAAATAGAAGAATGCCTGACTTATTCTTATAGATAGCTTTACCATCTACACAAGATGAAGTCTGGTTTTCTTGTTTTGTGTATAGAGAAAAAAACACAAGAATGTTATGCATATTGTTTGTGAATGCTAACATAATCGGCACAGTGAAATGCCTGTTCATGACTTAATAAAATTTCATTTGTCATTTTGAAATTTCTACGGAAATTTCCACAAACAAGAAATGTTGGGCCTGAAAGCAAATTCTTGTAGCTCACATCTTTGCATGTAGATACATAATTGAGCATTCAGTAAATGCTGTATCTTTGTGTTTTGAACAGGGTTTCAAAGAACCAAGGAAATACATTGCTGCACAAGGTAATTTGTTGGATAGTCCAATATTCTTTCTGAACAATTGTTTAAAGCACTTTTTTTTTTTGAGATTTGTTTTTATTTATACAAACAAAACTAGTATCTAGACCAGAGATTCAGGGGGTAAGAGGACACACCAGAGACAGAGTGGGGAGCAGAACAGGTGGATCTGCTGAGAGAGAAGCAGCAAGACAGAAGAGGTCTGTCTTACCGTGTGGGTCAGCTCCCCAGTAGGGGATTGAACTCATGTTTCAGTAACTGGTGCTAGTTGAATAATGATGAGACTTAACCCTGTGCCACTGGGTAGGCCCTTGTTTATTGAACTTTTAAGACAATATTTCTTATCAGTTTGTATTTGTTTACCTCCTAGGTCCACGGGAAGAAACTGTTGATGATTTCTGGAGGATGATATGGGAACAGAAAGCCACAGTTATTGTCATGGTCACTCGATGTGAAGAAGGAAATAGGGTAATAAGAACCCAGAACTTCATTGGTTGAAGGATAGAGATTCCTAGGATTCAGATGGGGTTAGGAAAAAAGTTTGCATTTCAAATAGTGATATGTGTGTGCTTGGTGACTAAAACAGTTGTCAGCTTTCATTAGTATAAAATTGGTCTAAATTATTCACCCATGTGGAGAAATAAAACATGTACATATCTAGTTTATGTGTATATGCATAAGATTTAAATGGTTTGCTTCAGTGCTGGGTGTGCATTTGATTCTTGCTTCCTTGAAGTATTAAGTTTCGTTCATTTCTTTGGGCTGACTTCTCAAGTACTTATGAATATTTGAAACAAAACTGACATTAGACAAAGATGGTGACTCATAAATGTGACTTTAGGAACCATGGAAACTTCTCTATCCCCTGGTTCTGCTCAACCACATGCAAATACATAATTCTGCTCCCACTGAGCATATCCTCTTTTAAAATGCAGATCAGTCTGGAAGATCATACTTCCCCTAAGTAGTCTAGAGGAAGTCCTTCAGGACCCATTAATGGGAAGTGGTTTACATTTCAAACCTCATAGTTTAGAGCTTATATATATTTAAAGGAGACTATACAAATATTTTGAGAATTGCCGAGTAATAAATTTTTATTTCGTCCCTTAAAAGAATGTTTGACAAACATGTTTGTTCAAATGAAATCTAGATTTCATGCTTTTTTTTTTTTTTTAACATAGAACAAATGTGCAGAATACTGGCCATCCATGGAAGAGGGAACACGCACCTTCGGAGATGTCACTGTAAACATCAGTGAACACAAACGATGTCCAGACTATGTCATTCAGAAAATGAACATTATAAATGTGAGTTTGTATATGAGAAAAATATTTCCTATAGGATGATGAATGGGGTTGGCGTAATAGCACAGCCAAAAGGATCAGTTAAATCACTGATGTAAGTGGTATTTGTATAAAGTGCAACACAAAATATTCAAGGTGCTGTAACCTATCACGTATAAGACGAGCTCATAAAACGTGTTGAACAAATGATTGAATTATTGAATGGAGGATTAAATAGTGATGGATTTGCTACCATTATGAAAACCTTTATGCATATTGACACAATGACTTTGTAAAGAGTATAGTTCTGACTGTGTTATAGAGAATAACATCGTCATTGTGATCTTAAAAATCTAGTTAAAATGGAGGTGTTCACACATAGGACTATATGATTGCATAAGATTAGATGGAAATTCCAGAATAATTAACTTTATACCGAAATAAAGTGGATTAGTGATTGCTTGGGGCTGAAGAGAGTGGAAAAGGAATTGGAATGACCACTAATCCATGTGAGCTGTGTGGGGTTAAATAAAATGTCCTATAACTAGATAATGGTGATGACTTCACAACCCTGAATATAGTAAAGAAAAAAAAATACACTTTAAGTAAAGCACAGTTGAGTTGTGTGGGGTTAAATAAAATGTCCTATAACTATGTAATGGTGATGACTTCACAACCCTGAATATAGTAAAGAAAAAAAAAATACACTTTAAGTAAAGCACAGTGCTATGGAGCTGTCCACAGCCACTGCAGCATGAGTTCAATGCCCAGCCAAGGAGCTGACCCACATGGCCCAGCAGACCCCTCCTGTCTCACCTGCTGCTCCCCTCAGCACTGTATTTCAGTCAGTCTGTCTGTTCTGCTTTCTCCTCTGTCTCTGGTAACACCTTTTACCCACCTCTCCGCACCTCTGGCTTGTACCCCAGTTCTTGTGTGCATAAATAAATAAATATTTAAAAAATAAATATATTAATTTTATGGCATGTGATATGGGGGTCTTTATAGACGAGGTTGAAACTCTCTGAATTCTATTCACTAAAAGGTTTTCAGTAATTAAATTTTATTTATATATGGTCTAGAAACATTTTCTGCAGGGAAACAAAATGACAAAGGTTTGTTTCCCCTCAAGACCTTCTAAGAGTCCCATAGCATTACTTACTTTTGCTCTTCAAGGACTGTGGGATAACCTCACTGACACTTCATGACTAAAGACATGATAAACTAAGCCTTGAAGACTCACAAAATCATAGATTTTGGTGACATGTAAAAATGGACGCCAGGCCCTCCCTGGTGGCACCGTGGGTTAGGACGCAGCACTGCAAGGTAGCCACAGCCACTTCAATGCAAGTCTGATCCTGGGACCTGGAGGTGATCCACATAGTGTGGCAGACCTCTCCTGAGCTGCCCACTGCTCCCCTCAGCAGTGTACTTCGTCAGTCTGCCTATTCTTCTCCCCTCTCTGTCTCCCCTCTCTGTCTCTGTCTCCTCTAACTGCCCCTGCACCTCTGGCTTGTACCCCAGTTCTATATGTATGTGTGTGTATAGATAGATAGGTGGGTAGGTAGGTAGGTAGACAAATAGGTAGGTAGGTGGATGGATGGATGGATGGATGGATGGATGGATGGATGGATAGATGGATGGATGGATGAGTGGATGGATGATGGATGGATGGAAGGAAGGAATTTCGACACCAATCTTATAACATTTAGTCTGGTGTTACTTTTCTCAGTTACTTCCCATTAGAAAATTACAACCAATCACGTTTTGTTATTTCTTCTGTTATGTTATATGCATGCAGATGGTTCTTCTTCATACCAGGTGAAAGAATTATGCATTTCATGTCTTTGCACATCCACGATCCAACTCCCAGTTGCATGTGTGTGTGTGTGTCTTTGTGTTTCATTTGTTCCGTTCTTGATTTAGCAGCATGAAAATACCTACAGACTTAAGCCCTCACGCACCACACTTACCTTCCTGGTAAGTTACTGCTTACTGGCCAGAGCGTGCCAATCCTGCATGACGTCTTGGTTAGTAGTAGTGGCTAACTGGAATTTATATTGCCTGGGAGAAAAACCTGCACGAGGAGTTTGCTTTTCTTTTTGGTACTGGACTTCGTTGCACTTAATTTATTTATGCCTGGTTATTTGCTTTGAAACAAAAAAATGTCAGTGAAAATATTCTCCCTTGTCCAGAAAAGAGAAAAGACAGCCAAAAGAGAGATAACTCACATTCAGTTCACCAGCTGGCCAGACCATGGCGTGCCTGAGGATTCTCACCTGCTCCTCAAGCTGCGGAGGAGAGTGAACGCGTTCAGCAACTTATTCAGTGGCCCAATAGTAGTGCACTGCAGGTGAGTGAACCCAACCAGACGTGCCACATCTGTTGCCTCCTGTGCTGCTGGGCCATCCACCCCTTTGGCAGCTGCTCCTTTGGGAAACAGTCTAGGCAGTGAAACTCCACAGTCGTATCTCTGCTCCATCCTTGTTGACTTTTCCATTGATTTCCTTCCCTATCATGCTTTGGCTTATTTTGTTTTGTCAGTGCTGGTGTTGGGCGCACTGGTACCTACATTGGAATTGATGCCATGCTAGAAGGCCTGGAGAAGGAGGGCAAAGTGGATATTTATGGTTATGTCGTCAAACTGAGGAGACAGAGATGCCTGATGGTTCAAGTGGAGGTATATTTTAGTCTTCAATCACTATTACCACTTTGGCATGCTGACCCATCTTTTTGTGGTCTGTGTACTGATTTCAAAAGTTCTTTCCAACTTCAAACAGTGGGCAAAATGGTTTGAAATTCCTAAATTGATACTAAAACTAAACCAAATGGAAAGTGGCAATCATAGAGCATTTTCCACTTGTAGCTAAAAGTACTGTTGAAAAGTTGACTGTCAAATGTTTTTTACAATAATGAAACAACACATATATCTCATTGTGAAACAACACTAAACGCAGACTTGGCAGCATTTTGTAAAATTAAAACTAGGGAGACAGTGTAGCATGGTAGTTAAGAGCCTGATTTTTGGAACTAGAATTCCAAGTTTCAAATGCTGCCTTTCACTGTTCCTAATGTTTCTGTCAAATCATCTGTAAAATGGAGATAATGCTAGCATTTACCTTATAAAGCTACAGCAGAAGCTAATACAAGTAAATAAAACACCTAGATAAGTCCCTGGCATATGCAGGTCACCAGTAATTGTTAGCGATGGTTATTATAGAAAAGGTACAGTGACCCAGCACTTCTAAATGTACTATGTCCCCAAGAGAAAGAAGCACTTGATACACAACCACAAACTTACAAGAATGTTCATTGCATTCGGGATTGTTAGAAGAGCCCCAAAAAAGGAGAGACCCTAAATACATATCCATAGGGAAAAGGGCAAAGAGAATGTGGACATGTGGGCCCTTGCATAAGACACTGTATGATGTAGCTAAAAAGAATGATCTAGTTGTATATCTGTTTATATAGTCAGATCCTCAGAACAAAAGTAGTGAGTAGAGTCACCGAGTAAAACATTTAAAACATAAATAATGTTTAAGAAAACACAAAAAATGCATAATGTTTATAAATGCAGATATTTGTGTAGAAAAATTAAGACACTGTTAGACAGAAAGAAAGAAATATGTCATATGAAAAAGTAGAGTAGAGATATAGCCAAACTCAGGGAGCCAGCAGTGGTTGTCAAAGAGACTTGAGGTTTATCAGAAATAGAGCATCCTTTTAAGAAACAGTGGATTCAAATGTGATAAAAATTTCAGAGTTGTTAAATGGAGGTTAGCATATTTTATTTTAAAAATAATTTTCTATATTTAAAAAGTTCTAAAAAAAAAACAGTTCAAAGTGTGTTCGATGGAGTATCAAGTTGCTTTATTTTTTTTGTAACCTAAGATACATGTGACCTTTATTGTAGTTCTATGTATTAGTAAGTTGAATTACCAATACAATAATCATCACCAAAAGAAGAAATATGTAGTATGTTTTAGTTTTTAGGAAAAAGGTACGAGCTACCTACTATACTGCAGAAGACAATTCTATTTAACAAACTTTTTTATTTTTGGAAAAGTAATCTGAGATGGAATTTGTACATGTTCTGGAGAATTGTGAAAGTCAACTACTATTTACGTGTTACAGTTTTCTTTCCCACATGTTATTGCAATATGAGAAAATTATTTATATATATATATAAATGTATAATTTATTTAAATGTGATCAATAAGGGCTACAAATTATCAGTTAATTTTGTTTTTTTTTTCCCTTAAAATAATAGACACAGTACATTTTGATCCATCAGGCATTGGTGGAATACAATCAATATGGAGAAACAGAAGTGAGCTTATCTGAATTATATCCATATGTACAAAACATGAAGAAAAGAGATTCTCTCAGTGACCTATCTCTACTAGAGGCAGAATTCCAGGTAATAGTACTGAAACAGTAATAACAATAGATATCTATCATTGAGTTCTATTTTCCAATGCTATGCTAGTCACTTGACATCGTTGCTTCCGTTTGGGCATCTCCATAACCACAGAGCACAGATGAAGACCCTAAGACACAGGCAGTTTGAGAGAAATGCCTGAAATCACACAATTATATAGGAGACTTGTTTAAATCTATAAATTTAATTCTACAGTCAACACTTTTAGCCATTCTTCATTAAGCTGGCATAAAATAAAGTATCAAGATAATAGTATATAGCCACAAAATTGGCCCACAAAAAGTAATGCAGCACCTCACCTTTAAACTTGCATCTGGTTTTGGTTTGTAAAGGAAATAATTAGAGGAGTTTATGGCTCCTTAGGAAGTTGAACTGATTGGAACTAGTAGACAGAAATTAAAGTATAAATGCATTCGATTTATGTGTCCTAACTTATTTATTAGGCAATTACTTTAAAAACTAACTAAGGATTCAATACTATGATTTCAAAAAATTGGTATTGCTGTCTCCAGTTGTTCAGTTTTCAGAAAGTTTTGAGAAAAACTTAAAAGTTCTTTTAGCTGTGATTTCTAGTTTATGAAGCTTTCTGTAAACGTCCAAAAAGGTCAATTCAAGGAGTTTCACAACAAGACCAAGAATGTGCTTTTAATCTGATGTAGAATGCATAATATTTTGGAACAAAGTGGATATGAGATTGGGGGTGGGCAGAGATAAGAGTGGTAATAATCACTAAGTAACACAATTCACCAGAAAACCTATATTATCGTGGAAGAAGTAGCAGGCATAGAGTAGTCTTAAACAGAGGGGTGTTTTATTGCTTTTTTATGATAAATTAATCACGTTTAATACACTAATCCGACTGAACATATATATTATTTGGAAAGACATAATAAACTTAATTTAAACATTCTAAGGAAAGTAAATTCTTTCACTGGACAAATATGATGGGGTACTTACTCTGTGCTAAATACAAGTCTAAGTCTGGACACAGGAATTAATAAGTTAGTGGGTATATTTGGTGTTGAGAGTTTGGGACAGTTCTTGTTTAATTACATTTTCTTCCTCAAGAAAGTATCAAGCAAAATCATCAGTTGATTTTAGGGGCACAAGAGTGAGTACAACAAAGAAATTATGCCTGAGGAAAGGGAAACATATTAAATAATTAATCAAACTACGAAAGCAATCTTCCTAGGCAAAGGAAATAGGATTGCTTGAAGTTATTATTGGACATTTGAAATGTATTGTCATGTATTTAAAGAGAGGCCAGTTAGTTGATTGTGTTTCTGCAGAATCATTGAGCTTTCAGAGAATAGAGGGTGCATATGCTGACAGTTGACTTAACTCATCTAAGATTTTTTTTTTTTAAATGGCTATATAGGGTCCCCTCTGGTGATGCAGTGGCTTAGGGTGCAGTACTGTAAGCTAGCTAGCCAGTTTGATCCCTGGCTCTGGAGGTGACTCACATCACAGAGACCTCTCCTATCCCTCCCACTGCTCACCTCAGCAGTGTACTTTGTCAGTCTGCCTATTTTGCTCCCCACTCTGTCTCTGGTGAATCCTCTCAACACCCTTAGATCTCTGGCCTGTACCCCAGAGGTATGGTGCTTGGGTGGTGAGTATGATGTGGTAATATACATCAGGAGGGATTTATAGCTGTAAAAATACAATGTTGTAACCAACATTACCTCAATAAGAAATGATAAAGTAAAAAAGGCATGTGAAATCATCAGACAATTTAAAAAAATAAAATCATATATCCAAAAATGGACTCAGGGTGAGAAAAGGACAGCATGTTCTCCAGTAACATCATTTGATGTTATTAGGTTGTAATGTTGATAAACAGTCCCAAATTTGTTAATATATAAACTAATTTGTTATAAGACTTTACTATAAAGTCACAATTTTCAAGAATCCCTCAGCGTGTTAAATACGGATTGATTGTAAAGGGAATTGAGACTTCCCCTGTAGAAATTTCAGAGATTGTGCTGTTGTAATATAGTACTGTGAGTAAGGCGGAAAGCAGTTTGGAAGGCATAAACAAAGGATGTGTCCACCATTGAAAGCATGTGCCAAGCCTGCAGTAAATGCGGTGTATGGAGAGCTTATTTCTGGTCATTGAAATAATGTGCCATTGCTACTTGTGATCTGTACAGTGCATTCATTCTAAATAAGAGCAGCCATACTATTCCTTTTCCTTTTAAGTCAGAAGCATTTTCTGTTATATAATTTTATATTTCTACTTTTTAATCCCAAGTCAAATAAGTAACTGAGCAATTAAAAGGAGAAATTCAAAGGCAAACTTAGAATTTGTGTGCAGATTTCACAAAACTTGAAATGCTTTTCTTCAGGGAGCATTTACACCACAATAATATCAATAAATTAAGCCAATATTTACATTTTTAAAGATTTATTTATGCATGCATGCAAGAACTGGGGTGCCAACCAGAGGGGTGTGGGGCGGGGGTGGTGGTGGGGTGAGAGTATTTATCAGAGACAGAGTAGGGAGCAGAACAGATGGATCTACTAAAATACACTGCTGAGGGGAGCAGCAGGTGGGACAAGAGAGATCTGCTGTGCCATGTGGCCACCTCTTTGGCTGGGGATTGAATTCATGCTGCAGTGGCTGCCCATAGCTTCACAGTGCTGCATTTTAACACACTGTGCCACCAGGGAGGGCCCAATATTTACATTTTAAAAGGACTTAATATTTTCCTTTCTTTCAGAGACTTCCTACGTATAGGAGCTGGAAGACACAGCACGCTGGCAATCATGAAGAAAATAAAAGTAAAAACAGGAATTCTCATATCATTCCATGTATGTAGTTTATTTTACTTTTTATCTGAAAGTTAAGCTTTCTTTTGGAATTATTTAAAATGAGAAAAATGAGACAAACACATGATCTTAAAGCAAGCTTTTAACAATTGGCTGACTATAGAGATTAGTTAACAGGTTAATTCAATTTTAGTTGCAGCAAACTACTTGGAACCCAAAATATTCACAATGGACTTTGGAGAGTAGGAAAACCAAGACCTCTGAAGCTTGGGAATAATGATCAAGTTGTCTTCACCAGTTCTCTGTAATCTTAAGGGTATTTTCATTACTCTGGGTTATTGGCAAATAGCAGAAATTATGTCCTTTGTTGTCTTTACCTCTCCCTTCTATGTGGAGGTTGAGGTAGGTGAAAGTACTTCATAAATTGTTAGTCATCAAATTTAACACATCAAAGTATGCAGTTTTCAAGGTCTGAATTTTGCTACTTAGGTATATTAATGGTACCATATTAGGTACAACAGGAACTTTGTTCTGTTACATATACTAAATTATGCACAGGGTAAATGCAATGCAGATTCATAAACTAGACAATCAAATATTTCAGATCACTACATTGTCAGTCTAGTTAACATCTGAAGAATGTAGCTAATCAGATCATTGATCAGGTTATTATAAAATAAAGCAGTCTGATAGATTTTTTTTCCTGGAATTCTTTTGGGATCTTTTTTCATAGTTTGTAATGAAAGGTAAGTTTTAAGTAGAATAGCATCCATGTAGGCCCATAAATTCATGTAATACAAACTTTCTCTTAAAATTACTTTCTAATTTCCACATGATTATCAAACAGATACTTTTCTAGTAAGAATTATTACTATTTGTTTCACACAGATGACTTTAACAGAGTGCTACTTAAACATGAACTGGAAATGAGCCAAGAGAGTGAGCACGACTCAGATGAATCTTCTGATGATGACAGTGACTCAGAGGAAATGAGCAAGTACATCAATGCATCCTTTGTAATGGTAGGCACTTCAATTTCCAAAGCCCAAAAGCTAAATCTCTAAAAAATATGGCTACATTATTTTGGCCACTTCATGAGATTTTATAAAAGAATAATGAGATTGGTTTCAGTGGCATATTGATTGACAAAAGAGTTTTAATTTTTAAGACAATATTTTAACTTATTAAAGGCCAAATGTTGAAACCTAATAAGTTGATATAAGGTAACATTTAATTGTAACTTGTGAAAAATGTTACTGTAGTTATATTAACTTAAAATAATAAAAATTAATAAATATGTATTTTGGAAAATGTTTATATTTACTCAGACATCCAAACTGTTGAACTGATCCAAACTTGCCTATTCATGTAGCTAGACTTTTGATTCAAATTACCTAAATTATTAGATATGTCTATATCAAAGTTTTTTTAATAAATTGAAATTTAAACAAGGTAGCTACAGTAATTCAGTAAATACCTTTTAATTATTCACTGTTAGACTACTTTGCACGTTGTGCACAAATATATTTTCATAAAATATTAGTATAATTATAAGCCATCATAAATATGCTTATACATGCTGAAGACAACTTGAAATAGCCTTGCAAATTATTTGTATAGTTGCATTAACCACTTTAGAGAAGAGAAAGTTAATTACTTTTGCAAACTAATCATTTCTCAATTTGATTTTATTAACTAAGAACGATCATTAACTGAGTATTTTGCATAAATAGAACATTAGATAAATAGAATCAAAGAATCTTTATATTTTTATGTAATAGCACTGATAACAAAATAAGTAACTATATTTCCAAATGGAAATTTTACAGATCCACTGATTTCCCATCAGTTAGCAGTAGTAACCAATTCCCACTTTTTCTTTTTCTTTTTTTTAGAGTTACTGGAAACCTGAAATGATGATTGCTGCTCAGGGGCCTCTGAAAGAAACCATTGGTGACTTTTGGCAGATGATATTCCAAAGAAAAGTAAAAGTTATTGTTATGTTGACAGAGCTGAAGAGTGGAGACCAGGTTGGTACTTTCAAGAAGCTTTTCTTAAAGTCTGTCATAGAATACCATCTACTTCCTTGGATTTTCATGGCTGGACAGCTATGTCTAGGCCTCTTGATCCTTCTGTTACAGTACCGCACTTGTTCATGCTGACCCTTTTCCATTCAAGTGTTGGTCCCCATGAGCTGTTTGGGTTCTGACAGGTCCTTATATTTGACTTTCTCTCACTGCTCACTAGTCATTTAAAGTGCAACAGTCCTTTTTTCACCTTTTTTGAAACCCAAAACCCGGCGGCCCCGTTTTCCCTCTGTCTTCTTCAAGTGGACTACAAATACCTTGGTGGAGGGTATGGTGAAGTAAGAAACATCTGAAGAGGCATGAATTTATACCTCTGAATCGTATACAATATTGTCAACCATTGTTAGATCAAAAATAAGTACATTTTTTTTCAGGATAAAAAACATATTCATTTGTCTGATATTAAATCTCTCAATAATCAGACTCCCATCTATCTTCATTTTCCTCATGCAATAATGTTTTTCCACACTTTCCATTCTGGATACTTACTGAGTCTTAAAACACACCATTCACATTTTCAGCTCTGAGTCTTAATTTTCTGGCATTCATTTATCTAAACATGTCTTCCTTCCCTTTGTAAACCTACTTTACCTCAGTAAACATAAGTTCAAATAAAAATACTGTGACATATATTTGACCTTTTCCATAACACCTTGAGTTTGCAAAATTTCTCTGGCAGTAGGTTGTACTTAGCTTCAGTACTTAACATATGATCTAATTTGACATAGGTTAAAACTCTTTTTAATGAATGTCCTCATAAGCAAACAGTTATATTATGTGCCATTTTCCCCTCATTTCTTTATATAGGAAGATGACTTCTATTCATATATTGATGGGGTTTTTATTTAAAAAAAAAAAAAAAGCAGATTCCGAGCATTGAAAGTCAGAAATATTCTTGTTAACCTAAATTGTGAAAGCTAGGAAATAAAACTGAAAGGCCAGCAGGAATGTTGTCAGCAGTTATGGGATAGTAGTTGTTGGAGAACTATTTTCAAAGGGAAGAGACCTTTTATGATTCATTTATTCTTGAACCTGCACCTTCATTTAGATTTTGAGTCAACTTGTCTAGAGCTACTAGCAGTGCTCTTCACCTGGAGACAAATCTCCAAAGATTCAGTCTCCTTTAAAGACCTCTGTGGGAGAGAGTGACACAAGGTATTGCAGGAATCGTAACAGACTGCCATTCTAGCTTTAGGTTTAGAAGAGGTGAGGATAGGAATATGGAATGTGAGAGCTGCACCAGAGAGGGCAGAGCTGATCCTGTGATGTCCTGACCTCTTGATTATGCCTGCCTCCTCTGCATTTCACAGGGAAACACCATATATTTGTCGAGTAGATGTTCAACTGCTAGGGTAGATGTTAGCATTGTATGGACAGGTGCCAGTTTTAGAATGTAATATTTTCATTTTAACTGGAACAATGAAAGGGGAAAGAGATAGAGAGAGAGACAGACAGGTGTGAGGGTTCTGAATGCTTTAAGAAGCAAGCAAATACCTTAGAAGTTGTTGAGCCATGTTCACTCTACCTAGGAAGCCTGTGCTCAGTACTGGGGAGAAGGAAAGCAAAGATATGAAGATGTAGAAGTTGAAATGAAAAACACAAGTAAATCTCCAGCTTACACCCTTCGTGTATTCGAACTGAGACATTCCAAGGTATGTACACAATTTCTAGAATACATATCTGCTATATAATTTATCCAATAAAAATATAAATTCTCAGTGAGGGCAAAATAATTACATAATGCCTTCAGAATAAATCTTCAGTAATGATCACATTAGTGTACTTGTGAAGGAAACATGATAATCAAATTATAAAATGGGCTGAACTTCCCTGGAGTTAATGTTTCCTCCACTTCTGGTTTTAGAGAAAAGAATGTCGAACTGTGCACCAGTACCAGTTTCACAATTGGAATGTGGAAGAGCTTCCTGCAGAACCCAAAGAATTAATCTCTATGATTCAGGTTCTCAAACAAGAACTTCCCAAGAAGAATCCCACTGAAGGGACTAAGTATCACAAGAACGTGCCTCTTCTTATTCATTGCAGGTACGTGGGGTTTGATAAAATGTTCTCTAAAAATCGCAGAAATACTTGACGTCATGGTTCCACTTACTGTTAAATTCTATTTATCCTGATATATAAAACACACAGCTCAGTGAAAGTCCCTTATGAAGTCCCTCTTAATTTTTCTTACAAGTGTAAATATTCTTGAACTATCATATAAATGATCACATTATAATGGAAGAATTTTAGACTGTGTATTCCTTAGTTTCGTTTCATGTCATCTTTGATTCCCTGTTGCCTAAATTTGAACCTGGAATGTTATATGTCCTGAGTAAGTTAATGAACGGTTGTAAATATTCATGAACAGATAGATGGACAGGTATTATAATTGCTCATGCTATATTGGTCCATTCTATTAGTTGTTGACAGAATACAGGGGACTGAATGCTTGGCCTTTAATAAACCTGTCTTCAATTACATATTAACTAAATTCTTAGTGCTTAGCAACTTTTATATGAAAAGCAGTAGTTGATTTATAAACTGACTCAAAGGAAAAAGATTTTAATAATTACATAATAATACTTGATTTTTTTATTAATTTCTATAATTCAGAACCTTAAGTTTGATTTGTGATAGGAAATTCATATCCAACCTGATTAAGAGATGTTGAAAGAAAGGTGTTAATATAAATGTTTGTGTTAAAAAAAATTAAAGTAAATGAGAAATAAAAATGATGAAATAAATGTAAATCTAGTGAAGCACTTTTAGAATGGTTCAGTAATCCTCATTATTATCGTTGTTGTTGCTATAATTGCATACACAGAATCAAGTTCTTACAGATATTGTACTTCTACGTATTTGAGTTTTCAATAGTAAAAAATATATCTGAGGAAAAATGCTGAAGAAGGAAGGTTTAAGTTTTAAGACTATTTATTCCAATTTGGTTGACTACCTAATATAATTTCTCTAGATAATCCTGTTAATAACACTTTTTTAAAGTCGAATTTTATACATAAAGCATATCTCCAGTTTTTGAATCTTTGGGTGCCTTTTTTTAAAATGAGTAATTCCTCAAGGTATTTTTTCTATTGATGCAGAAATACAGTCATTTTCAAAGAGCAGGAGAAAGCCAGAAGAAACAAGTAACATACTAGTAATTTAGTAATTTATAACATATCAGGTCCAGTATTTGTTTTCATCCATTTCTGCCCATGACTTTATCTATCCTAAATCATGGTGTCCTCATCTATAAAGTTGGCACTAGGATATTTATTTTAACAATTTCAAATGTAAATATTTAAATGTACTATAATCTGTAAAGTACTAACCAGAAAAAGTATATTTTTAAAGCGCAAACTAATTACAGTAAACATGAAGTGAATACTATAGTCTCCATCTCTTTCAATCTTAGTTCTATTACAATATCACTTTCTCCATAAAATGTAGAACTATCTTTTTAAATCATTTTTAGGGATGGAGCTAATCAAACAGGAATATTTTGTGCTTTGTTAAATCTCTTGGAAAGTGCAGCAACAGAAGAGGTGATTGATGTGTTTCAAGTGGTAAAATCTCTACGCAAAGCAAGGCCAGGAATGGTGTCCACATTTGTAAGTACAATTCATTATTACTCTTAATATATTTTGTAATTTTACTTGAATAATCTCTGTATCCCCTTTCCTCTCACCCTCCTTTCCTTCATTTCTGTTAATTTTTCTATTCATTTTTGATCTTCTATTTTACTTGATAATTCACATTATATTATCAGTCCAAATAGGAGATCTAATTAAGAGTTCGCCAGTTGAAGAGTTCTGTTCATTTAAGGCTTAACCATTCTGGACCAAACTTCTGCCATTGATGTGTCCATTGTAGTTTGGCTGGACTGAAATAACAGCAGCTGCCAATAGACTGACAGCTGCCTAGCATTTAGCTGTGGCAGTAGGGTTAAATGAGTCCCCCATCTCTCCTCATGTTTCTTCCAGAGGCCTCCCTGGTGGCATATGGGTTAAAGGCTCAGCACTATCAAGCTATCACTAGCCACTGGGGCATGAGTTCAGTCCCCTGGGGCATGAGTTCAGTCCCCAGCCAGGGAGCTAACCCACTTGTTCCCCTGCTGCTCCCCTCAGCAGTACATTTCAGTAGATTCTCCTGTTTCTGCTCCCCTCTCTGTCTGGTGAATCCTTTAACTCTCCTACCCCCACACTTCTGGGCCTATACCCCAGTTCTTGTATGCATTAAAAAATGATTTTTTTAAAGAAGATTCATCCAGGTGTATTTATATAATGCCCCAGAGGTCTAAAAGGGAGATCAGCAGTATACAAGCTCTCTTGAGACCCAGACTTAGTACTGGCAAGACGTATGTCCCTCTGCATTTATTACCTAACAGGTCACCTGGCCATTCCAGATGCAAAGTATGTGGACATACACTCTACCTCTTGTTGAAAGGTTCTGGAGAGTTACATTGCAAAGAGACATGAACACAGAGAACAAAAGTATGAAAAATTTTTGTAGTCAGTCCACATTTATTCTCTGTAAGTGGTAGCAACCATAAACAAAAGTTGCATTTACTCAATAGTGACAAAAACTTCTCTCACTCAAATATGTGCAACTTCATGATACTGAGTTTGCATAGATTGATTTTGAAAGTGTATTGAGTGCCTACTGTGTGCCCTCGTCACTAAGAGACTTGATGTTTAATATGAGAAAAAAGCAAATGTTATTAAATAATGTAATAGGTAACATGACAAAGAAATTCCAGCACATAAATGAGGACACTTATTTGAATCTATAGGGTTCAGGCAGCTCTTGCTTTGATACTTAAATGATGTGTAGGCATTTGCCAAGAGAATAAGCACAGGAGGTGGCTTTATAGGAGCAGGCATGGGAATGAGACACCACATGGCCTGGAAGAGAAATGAGCACTAGTTGAGTGTTGATATAAAGTAATCATTGAAGAACCCTGACAGACAGTCCTTTAGAACTGTAAGCCACTCTTTTCTTCAGGACTTCCACAATTAAATGATTAGTTATTAATCATCTGATATAAAAATAGTGACATAAATTCTTTAATGTCTTGATTCTTTTATTCACTAGGAGCAATATCAATTCCTATATGAAATCATGGCTAGCATCTATCCTGCCCAGAATGGACAAGTAAAGAAAGACAACCAAGGAGACAAAATTGAATTTGAAAATGAAGTGGACAAAGCAAAACAGGATGCTAATTGTGTCAATCTAGTTGCCCTAGATAAACCCCAAGAAGGAAACAAAGAAGATGAAGTTCCCAAACCAACCAATGTCACTGAGGAGCTAGAACAATCTGCTAATGGTCCAGCAAGTCCAGCTTTAACACAGAGTACATAGAAAAAGACAAAATTGGGGCAATTCAGAAACTCACCTAGCAAGTATTTCTATTTTTCTAGAAATAGATGGTAAAATAGTTACATAGTAGATTAATCAAATGCACTGGACCAGTACTTTGGGGGAAGTGTCTGATTTACTAGAAACAAATATTTAAGATGGTTTTGCTAAAACATTTGTACAGTCTTGTGCTTTTTTTTTTTTTAATTTTATCTATCAGCCACAAAAGGCATCTTCTTTGTACTCTTGCGTGTGTGTGTGTGTGTGCATGTGTGCGTGACAGGTAGAAAGAGAGGAAGGCTGAATTCAAGTGAATCTAAATGCTCTTGAGAATGCCTTTTTTGTCTTTTTACAAAGAACATATTTTATACTGGAAGATTAATTTAGCTTAAAAAAACTATCTTTAAAAAATCATGAATTCTATGTGGAATAGGTAAAAGAATAACTGCTATATTTCTAGAATGTTCCAAGAAGTCCGCCTTGCTCTACTCACATTATGATTTACTATTTTACTTCTAGAAATAGATATATAAGTTGTGTGTATGTGTGTGTGTAGTTACCACAAGTAGGTCAGCTAAATTAAGTTTTAAAAACCTTAGAGTCCAGATGTTAGCATTTAGTCCAATATTTTTTCAAGCTTATTTAATCTAATTTAAAATTTTAAGCAAGGCTATCTTGCTATCTTCTCATAGTGTCTACGGTTTTTCAGCATGGATATTCTCTGCACTGTATGTAAAATTCATTTCTTGGTACTTTTAACAAAAAGTTGTATGTCTCTGACAACCAAACTTAAATAAATATCTTTAAATAAATCCAACATATATTAAATTCATAGGCTAAAAATAAAATAATTAAAATGTATTTGTGCTAAGTATTAACACATGATACCTAATATACTTGTTGTTACGGAGCTCAGCATTGATAAGAGAAATATCCTATTGCATATGTGTATTTTCCATGTGTATTTTCCATGTTAAAGTTTATCCTTGACTTTCATTGAAGTGTACTTACTTTGTATTTTTCAAATGCTTAGACTGCTTTTACCAGGTGTTATCAATAATCATAATAAAATTTACTCTTATCTTTTCTTGTACAAATTTTAAGTGTTACAAATTCATAGAAATTAAAACATAGGTTTGCATTTGAACATTTGCAGAACAATTTTATAGGTCTCACTTGAAAAAAAAATCCATAGTTTAATAATGGTTTAGGGTATAGAAAAATTTCAAGGAATATTGTATTTTTCAAATAAACAAATGAACAAAACTCCTTTTGGAGTATTCAGATTATTATATTAGTCACACACTACCTTTAGGTTGGTTTGATTTTCTATTATTTCACTCTCCTGACTGACTTTAAATGTCTTAACAACACATCATCAATTGTTTGCTAGTCAACTTATATTTACCCTGTGGTATTTCTGCTAATTTTTTTTTATTATTACACATGTAAAATTAGCAATTAAATCTTCCATTATCAGAGAGTGCTTTGTCACTGACATATGAAAACAAGTACATTTTAGAATGAAGCATTAGTTTTTATTTAATATTGAATTAGCCACTATCTTGTGACTTATTAATGAGAAAAGGGCAACTGGGAATTATCAATTTATAGGCAGCAGAAAGAACGAAAACGTTCTTTTACTTCTCTCTTTAATCACTGAGACTCTGCTTCACTTTCTCCAACTGAAATACAAGTAGTTACCATTACTCTTTTAACACGCTTAGTTAAAAGGTTCTTTCCTCAGGTTCATAGACTAGTGTGACGAGTCTGTTTTCTTTGTGAATGGCTTCAAAGTACAACAGCAAGATTTAAAATTTTAAGTATTCTACAAGTAAGGTTTTGCTTCAGGAACCTTCAGAGTTCCAGCTGCAAATGACATCTTCCAAATGTAGACGGTGAGTTTTAAATATGTAATTTCAGCTTGACTCTGTCCTTTCAAGATGCAAAATAAGGACTTAGAAAATAGAGGCTGTTAATTTATATTACTTCGATAGTTTAAGAAAGTGAGCTGAAAACAAAATAAGCCAAAAAATGTTTGTCAGTAATAAAGCCTGATCCATATAGAGTTTTTAATTGGCAGAAAGCAAATAAGCTGTTTTTCTTTTAGAGGTTATTTATTTTGGGTACCAGCATTCACTGGGAATAAAGGATGCTAAATAATGTTAAATTCAGTTCCCAAGAATTTTCACTCACTACCAAATATTTGCCCACAATGGGTAAGAGATTAACTGAATATCTTTGCAAGCTTAAGCTTCTATTTAGAATTCTAAAGCTTGTACAGTGAGATTTTCATAGCTATTTTTATTTTTTCCCTCTTGACACATTGGATGTGAAGCTTTGTATTTATTACATTCCTTAACTTAGAAAGATCTTGATTCTTAATAGACACCAAAGATTTGTTAGGAATGTCCTCACAACATTATATGAGGTCTAAATAAATGGGTGGTAATTGCCCTGGCTAATTGCAGCATGTTTCTTCCTATGAAGACTTTCAAATGAACATCTAAGGAAAGAATATCTGTGAAAACTAGTGAAGGCTATGCTTTTGTTTTCTCTCCTACAGGTTTTACAACTGGAACAGTCTGAAGGCTCTTCAAAAAAGGCACATTCAGAATTGGTCTTTTCCATTCCTATTTCAGGTGACAGAATTTCTAATGCTAACAGTCCAATTTTGTAAACATCTTTCTCTTTGCACTTTCCTGGTAAATACATTTTTTTTTTTTTTGGTGCAGTACTAGCTCAACCAAAGAATACAAAAACAATCTAAATTTATTTTCTGTTTTGTCTTACCTGACAATTAAGAAAACAAAAGCACATGTAATAAATATTCTCATCAATGCCGTACAACATAGTAACAGTAAGCAACACAGTAAGCTTAGCTGAGCTCACAACATTGAAGCTATTACACAACTAATAAATACACTGTTAAACATCCATGGGAAAAGATTGTTCTCATAAAATATAAACCTCATCACTAAAGTGAGTGCCAGGAAATTAAACACAATATGTCATTGTTCCATTGCCCCAATCAGAACAAGTTACTACTATTTGCATCACATTTCAGTATGTATGTCAGGGGACCTATCAGTCAGTACATTAAACAAGGTAAAGGGTAAAAGGACACCATAAACTGCAATGGTGGTCATTGACTTGCTTTGTTGAATGAGTCCAAGGAAGCTTGGTTGTTTTGGCTTAAGGTGTCAGAACTGTTTTTCTATAAAGCAAATGCATCCCCCTAGGGGGGGAAAATCCTGATTTTCAAAAAATTCACATGCACCCTTTACCAAAGTAAAAATGGAAACTCTCAGACATATTTAATTTTCAAAAAAAGGGGGGAACTTGTTCATCTAACCATCTCTCTCACACATAAAAGGCAAATCAGATCATAGAGGCCGATGACCAGTCATAAATAAAAATATTATCAAAATTTTACAGGCTAGAACCTTCTGTGACTTTTCACATACTATCTGTGAAGATGTAGCATGAAGGGAAAGAATCTGTCATCAGATTGTTGATAGAATCTGTCCCCCACCTGCTAACAGGCTCACCATGGGGTTTTCCTTGTGATGTATTTATATAATTGTACTAGGAATTCTACTGATAAGCAATAATTGAGATTTTTCATTAATTTAGATAATTTTATTCTTCATGAATAATATTTCATGAGTTATTATTTTTTAAGTCATAAAACAGAAGAGAAAGGCATTATTATATGTATAACATTGATATGTAGCAAATGTCTTTACAAAGGAACTTCCATTTATATTCAATCATTTGCGTCCAATGCATCAACAACCTGAAGAGAAGGCTGGAAAACAAAAGATATGTGGAAGGTTTAAAAACAAAAGTTTGGGGCATCCCTGATGATGCAGGGATCACGCTATCACCAGCCACTGCAACATGAGTTCAATCTCCAGCCAGGGAGCTGACCTCAAGGTACAGCAAACCTCTCCTGTCTACCCTTTACTACCCTCAGCAATGTTGTTCTATAGATCGGTCTATTTTACTCCCCACTCTGTCTCTGGTGAATCCTCTTATCCCCACCCCCTAAACCTCTGGCCTATACCCCAGTTCTAGTATGTATAAACAAATAAAAATAAATACATATATTTTAATTTCTGAGTGCCAGTTAGGTGCCAGCTCTGTATTGTATGCCAGATATGACAATATTGTTCACTGAGGTGTTTAATTTTTTTATGCTCAAGTTTCATAATAAAGAGACTGTCTAGTCTACAGTGAAGGTTAAACATACAAATTTAGTCCCATGTTCATGACAGCTCTATTCACAATACACAAAACATGGAAGACATCTCAGTACCCACAAATAGGCTAATGAAGAAAATATGGTTTATTTATATGTAAAGGAAGATTATTCAGCCATAAAAAGAAGGAAATGTTGCTATTTGTGCCCTTGAGGGCATTATGCTAAGTGAAATAAGTCAGAGAAAGACAACTACTATGTGATCTGACTTTGTATATGTATATAAATGGACTTTGCCAAACAGGTGAAAGGAGTCAAGAGGTAAGTTTCCAGTTACAAAAATCACCCCTGGGATGTCCTGTATAGAAAGTGGCTATAGTTAATGACTGTGCTGGATATTTGAAAGTTGCTAAGAAAGTAGACCTTAAAAATTCTATCAGAAGAAAAAAGTACATGTTTAATGAGGGGTGCTAACTCACATACTGTGATTATGTTCACTAGTTTATGTATTGCTGCATAGACTTCCTAACCAGTGCCCTAGTGATCCTATATATTTTTTAAAGCTGTCAATTATAATTTTGATTGAATTTTAGAACAGGAAATTTATGAATTAGCAGAATAAACTCTGACCATTGAATCATATTCCCTCTGTAGGATTATTCATTAAGTGGAAACTTGGCAATTTATTGTGTTACAGCCCAAAAGAAATCCTTTGTCCCTTTGGAATTGGTAGTAACACCAGAGAAATGTGATTGTTGAAGGGACTACCTGCTCGGAAAGACAAAACATCTTGCCTCCCTCCTGGACTGGCCAGAGGTAGACTGACCACCGTTGTTAAGCGGGTTGTGGGAACTTCACAAGGCCTGGAATGGCAGGTGGTATAGAAAAGGTTAACAATCCTTTCAGCAAACCAAGAACAATGAAAAGTCCCACAATGGAATGAATGCTTTCCCATAGGGCACTACATTTTGATACTCCTTGTCCACCTATGTTTATGCAGATATTGTCTCTTTTCCATAATAAGCTTGTCCCTTCCAAATGCACCCTATAAAAGCCATTCCACTGTTAGTGTCTTTCTAGCTAGGTAGCATTATATGTGGTTATTTAGGAACTAGGGCTTTCATTTAGTGATTTTGTTCTGTTCTGTATCCATAGAGTCATTTGCATCCAGCCAAAGGATGGGGAAGGAGAAAACAGGACGAGATGTGGGAGGTTTATTAGCATACTTTTCTTCTGTCCCTATTCCAGTGGATAGAACTACATCATGCATCCAGCTACAAGGGAGGCCAGTGAATGTAATCTCATTGTATGATCTGAAGAGTACACATGTTCAGAGAAACATCTGCATATTGTGCAGTTTTATTCCTTTACTCTTCCATTTTAAATTCTAAAATTCAAGGGGGCCTCTGTTAGCACAAGGGTTAAAGACAGTGCTGTCAAGCTACTAATAGCCTCTGTGACATAAGTTCCATCCCTGGCTAGCCAGGAAGCTAACCCACTGGGCACAGAAGACTTTTCCTGTCTTGCACCCCGCTCCCCTAGCAGTGTTGCTGCTCCCAACTCTCTGGTGACTCCTCTCCCTCACACCTCTAGTCTGTACCCCAGTTCTTGTATGCATAAATAAATCAATCTTTAAAATTCAGGGATTTTTTTCCCCATTTATTAGTACTGTTGGGGTGATGCTGTTTACTTTTAAACCTCTAAAGTAGTTAAATATCTCTTGCTCATAATAAAACTTTCTTGCATATTTGGTCATAGTACAAAGCTTATCAAACCTTTGAAGAGATAGATAAAAGACTGAAGTGTTGGCAAGGGTGAGGTGAAATATGTACTCGCACTCATTTAGTTACAGGGCACCCCAA